AGGAATGCCCAGCCTGAAAAGGGGACGAGATAGATTCATGGAGGAGAGGTCTATCAATGGCTACGAGCCACGGTGGCTGAGGGGAACCTCCACATTCAGAGACACTAAGCCTCTGAATCCCAGAGCCAGGAGACAACCTTAGGGAAAGGTGTCGGCCTCTCTGCCCTGTTGTTGGCCCTCCAGAGGAACTGGCCGGCCACTGTGTGAGACAGGAGGCTGGACTAGACGGGCTATGGGTCGATCCAGCAGGGCTCTTCTTGTGTTCTTATCTTAAAATCTGTTCTTTTCTCCCAGCAACCTCATCTTTGCCAGAAGACCCCCTCCCTCTCTCACACACACTCAGAGACAGAGTCCAAACTGTCGGGAAACCTGAATGGCTTTCAAGTCAGGGAGGATAACATGGGGATAGCCTCACTTCATATGATCATGCTATCGATATTATTCATGATTTTGCTGCAGCGCTCCTTTGCCGGCGATCTCGGCTGCGTTTCTTAGCTCTGGAAGTGTTGCTATGGAGAAGTAGAACCCGTGGAGTGGGGTGGGGGAAATGAGGAAATATCAGGCTGTCTTCCAGGTACCGAAAAGATAAATCCTAGCTGTTAACTTTCCCATGCAGCACCTGAAGCTTGGAACCCGAGCTGTGTCGTGTAAACACAAATGGGGTGCACATTTTGACTGAGAGGGGGCTAGGCAGGATACATGGGCCAAGGGCCATTTGCAACCCCAAACATACCCCCTCTCCCAGCATGAATGGCAACAGAGGCCTGTTTTGCCGTTCAGCTCCAAGGAACAGCAAAAGGCACCCAAAGCCTCCCCCTCCACCTGCAGGTGACTAGCGATAGATATTCCATGGTGAGTCCTTTTAGGCATCTCAATCCTATTTGCTAGAGGGACATTTTCTGCAGCCAGCGGGATCGTGGGGTGGAGCTTCTTGTGGACTGAAGCATTCCAGGCCTCTGGGGAAGAAGGGTGTACACTGCATGCTTTTTTGGGCACAAAGCTTTTGTTTCTTTCCTGCCGTTCCTACATGGAGCTTTGGGCAAGTGTGTGACTCTCCCTGCTTTCATTGGGGGAGTGCATTTTGCCCCCCCCCCAAAAAAAAGTGGTAGGGCCCAGAAAAAAGTTTTAACTCTTGATCTCGATTTCGTATGCAGGTATGCCAGAGATGAACTTCTGCATGGACTCTCTGGTCTTCATACTTTTTTTTTGGGGGGTGGGGGTTGATGGAATGGCTTGGGCCCCCACCTTGACAGAGCAGCTAAGGTGCATGGAAAGGGAGAACGTCCTTTGCTGCCGGGTGCTGTGCTGGGTGTAGAGATGTAAGATTTTCGGAAATTTTGAAGCTTGGGAAAAAACGCGTCTTTTTCCCAGTTTTTCTCAGGGGGAAACGGAAATTTTCGGAAAAATTGAAAAAAAGGCTAATTAGCACTTCTTTTTTCTTTTCTAGATTGAAAGTCATTCTGTTATTTTAGGAACATAAAATATGACTATGGACATTTTTACTTGTCATGAAATTATCACAACTAGCGTATTAGCAATATAGTGTATCCAAACCATTATTACAAACAGAATACCCACCCGCATGCAAAAACAAAACTGAAACCTTTTTCTTTTCTTGTGACAATAGCACCTCCTAAAGGAAGAAATGCATCTTGTTCTTGCATTGGAGAGTTCAGATTGTAACCTAGGACTTGCTTGTCCTCAGTGCACAGAAATTAGATCAATAAAATATTTTATTCATCATGTTAAAATAAAATGTTCCATAATTAATTTTTTCCCTTTTCTTTTTTCAATTTTTCCAATTTTTTGGAAAAAAACAAAAAAGGCTTCAGGAAAAAAACGTGTTTTTTTCTGAATTTTTCTGTTTTTTTTCCGGGCCTTCACATTTCTAGTTGGGTGCCAGATGGGCCGTTCCAGGGAGGCTGGATTTGGGACCCTAGGCCTCCAGTTTCTCACTTGAAAGCCCTTCAGTGGTTTCCAGTTCTCAGTAGCAGCAAGCAAAGAGCAAGAGTCCGGGAGCACCTTAAAGACTAACACAATTTGTGGCAAGGGAGGAGCTTTCGGGAGACACTGCTCACTTCTTCAGATGAAGCGAAGTGAAGAAGTGAGCAGTGACTCCCAAAAGCTCCTCCCCTGCCACAAATTCTGTTAGTCTGCAAGGTGCTCCCATAGTCTTGCTCTTTTCTACTGCTGCAGACAGACTAACTCGTCCACCCGTCTTGAAGAAGTCAGCAGTGACTCACAAAAGCTCATCCCCTGCCACAAATTGCGTTAGTCTTTAAAGCAGGGGTGTCAAACATGCAGCCCGGGGGCTGGATGAGGCCCTCGGAGGGCTTCCATCAGGCCCGCAGTGAAACTGGCCATCTCCTGCTTCCAGTTCCGCTGCTGCTGCATCGTCACTTGCTTCGCCAGACTCTCTCAATCACTCAGCCATTTCATGTCTTAACCTGAGCCCTAGACTCAGAACTCTTGAGCGTGAGATTTCTATGGTGAATGTCAATAAATCAAAAGTAGGTTTGCAGCTTACAGAGCTAATGTTTTAAGCATGTTTTTATTTGAAGGGGGAAAAAACCTTTGTGTTTGTGTCCTTTATAAAGTTTATATCACCGCTGCCTGGCATTACATTTTATGACACACGTGGCCAGTGATCCCTCTGAGTTAGTGTGAGTTAGCGCACAGTTTTTTAGCTTCCAGCTCACACCGTTTTGTCTTCGCTCCGGAAGGAGGGCTCCAGAGCAGACTAATTTGTGCAGCAGCCAAGTTACTCACTCACAACTTTAATGCCAGTAGGTCACAAAGTAAAATTTTTGCTCACAAGGCTCCACAGTTTAGAGGGAGCGTTGCACACGGCCCGGCCCAACAAGGTCTCATTTATGTCAGATCTGGCCCTCGTAACAAATGAGTTACACACCCCTGCTTTAAAGCGTTCTTGGGCTCTTGCTCTTTTCTCCTGCTACAGATAGTCTAACACGGCTACCCCATCTTGAAGAAGTGAGCAGGGACTCACGAAAGCTCCTCCCCTGCCACATATTTTGTTAGCCTTTAAGGTGCTCCTGGACCTCTCATTCTTTTCTACTGCTACAGACAGACTACCATGGCTGCTCATCTTGATCTATCGCCAGGGCTCTTTTTGTAGAAAAAGCCCAGCAGGAACTCATTAGCATAATAGGCCATACCCAACAGCAGAAACCCATTAGCATATTAGGCCACACCCCTGACAGCACAGCTCATTAGCATATTAGGCCACACCCCACATGTTACCAGAAGTGTGGTCATCCAGCCACACCCCCCTTTTGCTTCTTATTCGGTTTACCTTGTTTGTTGTCAAAACCCAGGGCTTTTTTTTTGTAGCAGGAACTCCTTTGCATGTTAGGCCACACACCCCTAATGTAGCCAATCCTAATGAGTGTCTGATATTATGTGTGGCCTATTATGCTAATGAGTTCTTGCTGGGCGTGGCCAACTCAGGAGCCAGCCGGAACTCCGTTCCTGTGCGTTCCTGCCCCAAAATAGCCCTGTCTATCGCCAGTTCTCAGTATTACCTTGACTAGGAGATATTGCAGGCCCTATTTTGGCTGTGGAAACTGATATCATATAAGGATCTGCTTGTATGACCAGCATAAAGAGGGGAGAACGATATTTGGGGAGTATATCTTTAAACCTGGGGGAGGGACAAACGCTTGTGTAATATTTGCCCCAGTTGTGGGCCTTGTTGCGATTTGATTGGAGTCCAGTAGCACCTCCGAGCTGGGGTCCTCGGTCTCTTTGAGTCTGTGAGCACCTTTGGAATTCTGACCACAGTGTGGTTGTTGCAGCAAAACGGCTGTGGCGGGCGGCGGACCCAGCCCCCAATCAGCTGTGGTGACAACTATGGCCAAAACAACATTTTTAAAAAATTGCCCAGCCAATCAGAAGCCTTGCTGGGCAAAAGCCTCACCCAGCCCCACCCAATTTCTAAAAACACTCGGTAAAGAAGAAGAAGAAAATATTGGGTTTATACCCCGCCCTTCACTACCCAAAGGGGTCTCAGAGTGGCTTACAATCTCCTTCCCCTCCCCATAACAGACACCCTTTGAGGTAGGTGGGGCCGTGAGAGCTCTTTTTGAGGACTGCTCCTGAGAGAACTTGTGACTGACCCAAGGTCACACCAGTAGCTGCATGTGAAGGAGTGGGGAATCAAACCCGGTTCTCCCAGATTAAAGTTTGTGCTTCTAACCACTACACCAAATTGTTCCACAAGTAGCAACCAGGAAAGGTGTCCATGAATGCCACAGTACCCATGGGGACACCTGCCTTAGAGAACAACCAAATTTTCAGGGCACAGTAGTTCAAAGGCTCATTCCCCAAAAATCCCGATCTTGAAAGCGTTACCGGACTTGAATCTAGCTGTTCTACTGTATACCAACGTGGCTGTCCTCTGAAACCATCTTGTTGAAACGTGGCTATCTTCTGCAGCATACCCAATGTGTCACTCAGTCCCCCTTTTTCTCCCTCTGTCTAGCCAAGCCCAAAAACTTTGCAGAGGCCCTGGAGGTGAAGACCGGGAACATAGAGGTGCCTGTGGCCACCTGCACCTCGTCCAACGGGAAGCCAGCCGCTCAGGTCACATGGCAGTCGGGGCTGAATGGCAACTTCACCACTTCGGAGGTGACCAACACGAACGGCACGGTGACCGTCACCAGCCACTACATGATGGTGCCCACCAAGGAGGCCAACAATCAGCGTATCTTCTGCCACGTCGAGCAAAAGACCCTGGCGCAGCCGGAGGCACTCCCGGTCACGCTGACCATATTATGTGAGTGGCTTCGGGGACTGGGGACGGTTGGGGAAAAGGGGAAGAAGAAAATGTTTGGGGCCTCCCCTGTCTTCTAACTGGTAGGCTTGATTTGCTGAAAATTTGGGGCAAAAGGGGAAGAAGAAAATGTTTGCCCCCCCTCGTCGTCTAACTGGATGGCTTGATTTGCTGAAAATTCGGGGGGTGATGAATGTAAACAAAGCCAGTCTCTGTGTTGAAGAGTTGACGACCTAATTATTTCCCCCCTCTCTCTCGTGTATACAATTTTATTTATTTTCTATAACAACACAAAATAACATACTAACCTACACAAAACACACGACCTAATGATAACGGTCAGGAATGATCGGGGAGAGGGGAGTGGTCCTTTTAAATAATTTATTTAGTTATCTGCATTAAAGGGCAGCAGTAAATCACTGGGAATTCGTCTCCCAATAAAGAGCGAAATCAAATTGTCGTATGATGCCAAAAAAAGGAAGACCGTCCTAAGTTAATTGTCGAGAACAGAAGATTCTCCATTTTCATCATCACAAAATTTCCGAATTTTTCTGGAGAGTTGGTCTTCAAAATGATTTTTAAAAATCTACGAAAGGGTATTCATTCCCTCGTTGTCCTGGGCTTCCCCGATCTTGTCAGATCTCCAGCGTAAAACCTGGTTGGCCCCGATTAATGCTTGGATGCGCGACCACCAAGGAAGTCCAGGGTCTCTGTACAGAGAGAGGCCATGGGAAACCATCTCTGAATGTTTCCTGCCTTGAAAACTCTACGGGGTTGGCATAAGTTTGCTGCGACTTTACTCGCCCCCCCCCAAAAAAAAATGGTACCCACCATGACCTTTGGGCAGTGGGTGATGGATACAGGAGACCTTTGCATTTTCACTTAATCTATGGTCCAACCGCATGGTGTAGTCACCATCCTGTTTGTATTCCCACTGCACCGTTGTTGGAATCATGACATAATTACATTTTGCGGGGAATTTGGTGGTTTCGCTAATGGCCGCAGCAGACGCCCCCGCTCCCGTGTATTGGTGGATTCCACCATTCCAGCTGATCTTGGGAACAGATCCTTGCCATCGATGAGGGTTTACTGCCGGGGTCCCCCACTCTTTTAAGCGTTTGGGCACCTTTGGAATTCTGACACGGGGGGGTGAGCGTATCCACAAAATGGCTCCCATGGGAGGCGGAGCCAAGCGCACAGAGGAAACCCAAATGTGGGGGTGAAGAGGGGTAATTTAAATCATACACAGGGCACATGGGAATAAAAAAAGCAGTGTGATAGTATCTGCCACCGTGAAAGAACATTCTTTTAATCTGTTTAGCCAGCATTATTTTAATCTGCATAGCCAATTGGATCTTCAGTGGCCAATTGGAAGCCCTGCTGTGTAAGAGCCCCACCTGGCCCCACCCACGTTCTAAAAACACCTGCTGGGTACTAAGAAAGGTGTATCCTCAAGGGGGTTGGCATAAGTTGGCACCGTAGTGCCCACAGGAACCCTGTTGGGGACCCCGGTCTGCTGTAACATAAAGCATGGTTTGGTGAGAAACGCTCCCTCCACGACCTCGAGTTTCGCCTTTGGCCATCGTATAACGAAGCAAGGGAATACTCAGAGGTGTCAAAATATGATCTGGCTGCAGTTAGGGTTTTGCAGCAGGACAGAAGGGAGGGGGTGACAGACGTGACTGCTGGTGACTCCCCCCGGCTGACCACCGAGCATTTCTCTCGGCTTTCCTCGCAGACCCCCCCGAAGTCACCATTCAAGGCTACGACAACAACTGGTATCTGAGCCGCGAGGAGGCCATGCTGACCTGTAGCGCCACGGGGAACCCGCCGCCCACCAACATCAGCTGGGCCACGTGAGTCTGAACCCCATTTCTTTCTGCTTAAAACACACACACACTGTTCTATTCAGATCTGTTTGCCTAGGGATGGCCAGCAAAGGTGTAAATCGTCCATTGAACTCTTCCATGGAAATGGTGTTGGGGTGATGGCTTGCTATGGGCTCTCTCTCCTGGGCGAAGAGGGAGACTGTGCACAGGGAGAGCTTCTCCCTGGATAGGACCTCTCTGGAATTCTAAATGCGCCGAAACAGCCTGAATTCGTTAGAATTTGTAGATTCGTTTAGAAAATGAATTGGTCACCTCTCGTCCCTACGGACCTCAAGGGTGGCTTACAGTGTAGATAAACGACATAAAATGTAGAATATGGACAATCCAGTTTACAATCTCAATTTAGGTCTGCTAATAAATTAATCAAATGCGGTCCTCAATGAAACCGTCTTCAGCTGCCTCCCAAAGACACACACACTGTTCTATTCAGATCTGTTTGCCTAGGGATGGCCAGCAAAGATGTCAATCGTCCATTGAACTCTTCCATGGAAATGGTGTTGGGGTGATGGCTTGCTATGTGCTCTCTCTCCTGGGTGAAGAGGGAGACTGTGCACAGGGAGAGCTTCTCCCTGGATATGACCTCTCTGGAATTCTAAATGCACCGAAATAGCTTGAATTTGTTAGAATTTGTAGATTCGTTTAGAAAACGAATTGGTCACCTCTCGACAATCTCAATTTAGGACTGCTAATAAATTAATCAAATGCGGTCCTCAATGAAACCGTCTTCAGCTGCCTCCCAAAGATCCAGGGTGAGGGGGGCAGGTGCTCCGTAATCATGGGGCTGCCACCGAAAAGGCCCTGTTCTGGGGTGCCTGCCAAACGAGCTTCTTTGATTCATGGGACAGTCCAAAGGGCCCCTCTCTGTGATCTTAATTCCTGGGCAGGAACGTACAGGAGAAGAGAGTCCTTCGGATACCCCGGTTTCAAGCCATGAAGGGTTTTAAAGGTCAAGAGCCAGTAGTGGTTAGGAGCCCATACTCTAATCTGGGAGAATCGGGTTTGCTTCCCCACTCCTCCACACGCAGCCAGCTGGGTGACCGTGGGCAAACCACAGTTCTCTCAGAGCTGTGCTCCCAAGAGCAGTCCTCTTGCCACCACACCATAAGGATCTTCACAATGGCAGCCATTTTGTTGCTGGCTCCGCCTCCTGCGGCAGCCATTTTGTGGCTGTGCTGTATCAGAATTCTGAAAGCTCCCAGGGGCTTGAAAAGGTTGGGGATCCCCGTTGCAAGCAGCTTTTGAGTCACAATGGTGGGGAGAAAAGCGAGATATAAATGAAGACCAACACAGTACAGAATGAGAACTCCCTCTGTGCCTTTTCCATTTAATTTTCATAAGGAGCACTCTCTAACCTTTCTTCCCACCCCACGTGACGATGAAATTTAGTACTGTGAAAATGATAGATTTAATGCTTAAAAGCTACCGTGATGTAGTGGTTAGAGTGCTGGACTTTGACCTGGGCGATACGGTTTCGAATCCCCATTTCCGCTGCAACAGCTCGACGGGTGAACTTGGCTCAGTCTTTCACGGCCTAACGTGCCTCACAGGGTGGTGGTTAGGATAAAATGGGAGGAGGGTAATATCGTAACCTGATTTGAGTCTCCACTGGGGAGAAAAACAGAGTATAAAATGCAAAAAGGTTGCAGTGGTCGAGGTTGGTAGAAGAGAGCAGCTTAGCTTGGCCTAACACAGAGGTGTCAAACTCATTTGTTACGAGGGCCGGATCTGACATAATTGTCACTTCGTTGGACCGGGACATGTGTGCCATAAAATATAATGCCAGGTACCAGAGATAGAAACTGTATAAAGGACAGCAGCGGGTAAGCTCTGAGTTGGTGCAAGGCCCCCTGGGCTGGGAGGGGGGCGCAGAGGAGAACCCACATGGGCGGACTGGAGAGGCAGCAGTGCAGTGCTGGGCCGATGTTCCCACGATGCTCGACTGCTGCGGACGAAGTTGTTCTGCTGTGCTGAAACCACAATGGAGTGGCTCCCCCCACTCTCCCCCCAGCACCTCCTCCCTTGTATCAGTTGCTCGCGGACTGCATAAGCGCCCTGGACGGGCCAGTTCTGGCCCCCGGGCCTTATGTTTGACACCCCTGGCCTAACAAATCCAGCATAATGAGTTTAATTTATTTATTTATTTGGATTTATATCCCGCCCTCCCCGAAGGCTCAGGGCGGCTAACAGAGGCATAACGCCAAGTAATAACAATAAAACAATGAAATAGTGACTAAAAATACAGAATAAACTATTAAATAGTTAAACAGAATTCATCAAAACATTTTCGGTGCTCCCCTACTCACTTCCGAATTTTAAGTCAAGTGAGGCATTCCCTCCTAAAATGCAAGATACACATCACATCGAATAGACTTTTTTCAGGGGGAATTGACGGGTGTGGACCCCTAGGCTCTATTTGTTGGCGTAAACTTTTGTCTTTTTCTCATTCTCTCGCTCCGCCAGGTCTAGCGGTCCCCTTCCAAGGAACGTGGCCGTCCAGGGGGAGAAGCTCGTGGTACAAAACGTGGACGCCTCCGTGAACACCACTTTTATCTGTCACGCCATCAACAAGGTCGGGAGAGCCTCAACCGAACAATTAATCTTCGTACGAGGTGAGAATGGTATGGGGTGGTGGCTATAATAATAAAGTCCTGTGTGTAAAGGAGTGCATCTGGGTGCTAGGAAACAGGAGTCTGGAGGGGAGAGTGCTTTATGAAAAATGGTGTCGGCCCCCCCTCCTGCCCCCCCCAATACACAAAGCACAAAAAAACTGCAGTTAAAATGCGTGAGGTGGGGGCGGAGAGCCGAAGGCCCTTGTGCAGTGTCTGTTGTTGGACTGTAGCAAGCCAGGTGCTAAATTTCGGAATGCACCACCAGCAACTCTGCATCAGATGTTCGTTTTGAGCATATGAGGTGTGTGTTCCGGCGGAAGTAATCTCAGCTCCCCTTTCCCCTTCAGTCTGCAAACGGCTGCAAACGTGCGTCTTTACATCATGGTGGCGGTGTTTAGAATGTACCAGAAGGCAAGTGCCTTGTGAGACGGGAGGTCAAAAGCAGGTCATGCAGTCTGATTGGCCTGTTGCATCAGGCGCACGTATGGTATTGGATGTGCCGGTAGCTGGGTGCATTGTGGGTAGGGACGCAAGGAGCGGTCCGGGCCACGCCACGTTTTGGGCAGGCCTGCATCCGAGAGGCTAGGGGACGCGTTGGGCTCCAGCCGGCTAGTGATGGGTCTCCACCACCCCTTCTCCCCACCCCGCCATTTGCCCTTTCCCCCCCCCCCCCTGCCGCTCTGCCCCTTTCCCGGCGCTGGCGCTGCTTACCGATGCCCTTCCCTCTGAGTGACCTTCCTCGTCTTGCTTTCTTTACTCAGACCAGCCGGCGGAGAGGCAGAGCGGCAGCGCCGGAGCCGTGGCAGGGGCCGTCGTAGGGGGAATCCTGGCCCTGACCCTCCTGGGGGCCCTGGTGGTCGTCTTCGTGCTGCGCCGGCGCCGCCTCCGGGACACCAAGGGCTCCTATGACCCCAAGACCCGGGTCTTCGGGAACGGGACCGCCCCGCCTCCGGTCCGCAGCTTTGCCGAACTCGACCGGCCTCTCAAAGCTGCTCCGGGACGGGGGAGGGAGGAGGAAGAAGAAGAGGAGGAGGAGGAGGAGGAAGAAGAGATGCGCAAAGATCGTCGCTTGCCCTACGGCTACCCTTCCCGCCGCCTGGACAACGAAGAGGAGCAGTTCGACCAGCTGGGGCCGATGTTGCGGCTGGGCTCCTCGCCCCGCGGTTACGAATACGACGACATGGAGTCCCAGCACGACGGCTCCATCATATCCAAGACTGCTGTCTATGTGTGAAGTCCGACCATAGCGAACCGCCTCTGCAGGGAGAGAGAGGGAACTTTGGTCCTTCCAAAGAAGTTCTCAGACTTTTCTCCCCCACTCCCTGTTTTTCTTTAATTTATGGACCCTTTTGTGGCTGGACTCCATTTGGGAGGGAAAGACCTTCCTTCTAGCAAGGCGAGGCAGCTATAAGAGACTCCCTTTTGAACTGGTGGGGCAGGCAGGGGGAGACCTGCGGAGTCGGGATTGCCGGAAGGTTAAAAAGAAAAGAACAGAGCCGGGGACTCTCGTTTCCTGGAGGATCTCTTCTTCAGTCGCGTGCTCCTGCTGCTGCCTTAACCGGATTTTAATTTTTGTTTTTAACGCTAGAGGAGACGCAAAGCGGGTTGTGTTTTAAAAATCTGAGATGGGCTCGGGGGCAGATCCGGACGAGGGGCGAAAGCTTCTGTGGGTCCTGTATGCAGAGGCAGGAGTGGCCTACCTCGGGAGTGGGGTTTTCCCAAGGGAGTCCTTCTAGTTTTGGTGCTCTTAATCCGGAAGCAGGGGGACAGGTGCTGAACCCCCCTACCCAGCCCGGCGCTGGGGGGGGAAACTGACCAGGCCCCTGTTAAAACACTGCCCGTCCATCCCTGCTCATGTGACCGTGTCAACAAGGCCCGCCTCTTTGAGTCGCACGCTTTTCACCTAGCCTTCCTCGCAGGGTTTTCGTGTAGATCGAATGGAGAAGAGGAGAAGGATGTTAAGTCGCTTTGGGTCCCCATCGGGGAGAATGGCGGTGTGTGTGTCTGTGTATGTTTGTAAATGAAGTAAATAACAAAGGTATAAAGTCTCCCCTGAATTGTCTGCCATTTTTGGTGTGGGGCAGGGCGTTACTCTGTCATGGGGAGGAGGACGAGTCCCTCCGTCACATTCTTCCTCCCTCATGCACTCCCCCATGCGGTGCCTTATTGGGCCCGGCAGTTCTTATCTTTCTGGCTCCCCCATTGCCTGTAAATATCCCAGCCTTTTAAAAAAAGGGCACAGAGTTATTTTCGTACTTTCTTTTTTCCCCACCCCACCCCCCCTTGTCCCGCGTGGGCCGTCTGTCCCTGCTTCTGTGTTGTAATTAAAAGCTGTCTTGAAAACGTGGTTCTCATCTGCCTCTCTCGGATTCACCTGGCGAGCGGGGATCTGGGGGCGGGAGGAAGCAGGTAGCGCCGAGGGAGAAGGCCGCGTTACCGCGGGGACATCAAATCCCTCGTTTCTTGACGTCTGCGCTTCTGCAGGCCGGCTGCGGCATGAATATTTCAGACTTCCTTTCTCGGTACAGAATTAATTGGCGACGCGGTGTTCTGGATGCTCCGGTTGAGAGAATCCAACTTAATGTGCACAGCAAAGACACTCAGGTTTAGGATAGGGTCACCCAGGGGCGTAGCCAGAAAAATTTGGGTGGTGGGGCACTGGGAAACCAGGGGGGGAGGGGAGTGTGGAATAGATAGATCCTGTTGGCAGGCAGGTGAAGAAGAGAAGGGTCTTTCCTAACCTGCCAGCATGACTCCCACAGTGGGAGTTGTGGGGCCTGGGCCACGAGTGAGGGGGCACTGCCCCTAAATGCCCCACTGTGGCTATGGGCCTGGGGTCAGCAGCTCCGAATTCAGAAATACCTCGAAATTTTGGAGGGTAGAGCCTGAGGAGGGTGGGGAGGGGAGGGACTTCAACGGGATATAATGCCAGAGAGTCCAACCTTCCAAAGCAGCCATTTTCTCCAGGTAAACTGATCTCTATTGCCTGGAGATCAGTTGTAATAGCGGGAGATCTCCAGCTACCACCTGGAGGTCGACAACCCCAGATATAATAATCATAGAGTTCACCTTCCAGAGGAGCCATTCTGTCCAGGTCAACTGATCTCGTATCGCCTGGCGACGAGGTGTAATAGCGGGAGATCTCCAGCTAGCCCCTGTTGGTTGAGAGCCCCAGGTACAATGCCCTAGAAGTCCGCCTTCCAAAGTCCAGCTACCACCTGGAGGTCGACAACCCCAGATATAATAATCATAGAGTTCACCTTCCAGAGGAGCCATTTTGTCCAGGTCAACTGATCTCGTATCACCTGGCGACGAGGTGTAATAGCGGGAGATCTCCAGCTAGCCCCTGTTGGTTGAGAGCCCCAGGTACAATGCCCTAGAAGTCCGCCTTCCAAAGTCCAGCTACCACCTGGAGGTCGACAACCCCAGATATAATAATCATCGAGTTCACCTTCCAGAGGAGCCATTCTGTCCAGGTCAACTGATCTCGTATCACCTGGCGACGAGGTGTAATAGCGGGAGATCTCCAGCTAACCCCTGTCGGTTGAGAGCCCCAGGTACAATGCCCTAGAAGTCCGCCTTCCAAAGCAGACATTTTCTCCAGGGGAACTTGAACTTCTGTTGCCTGGAGGTCAGTTGTGACCCTAGGAGCTCTTCAGCCACCACCTGGAGGCTGGCAACCCTCGTGTAAGTGGGCCAAGTTTAAACTGGGCTGGACGGAGGAGCGTGGCCGTGGGTTGTATGGGGTTAGGCTAGCCCGGTCTTGTCAGATCTTAGAAGCTAAGCAGGTCAACCCTGATTAGTCCTTGGATGGGAGACCACTGAAGAAGTCCGGGGGTTGCCACGCAGAGGCAGGCCATGGCAAGCCCACCCCCGCTTGTCTCTTGCCTTGACCTAGATGGCCCAGGATAACTCCATCTCATCAGATTTTGGAAGCTAAGCGGGGTCAGCCCTGGTTAGTATTTGGGTGGGAGACCATTGAGAGGAAGTCCAGGGTCGCTACGCAGGGGCAGGCAGTGGCAAACCCACCTCTGAACATCTCTCGATTTGAAAACCCTATGGGGTCGCTGCAAGTCAGGTGCAACGTGACGGCACTCCATGCACACCCACAGGGCGCTGCAGATAATGGGGCAGGGAGCACTGGATCAAAACCATTTATTTCTGTTCTGAAGTACTGGGCTGAATTGGTCAGAAGAGACCTGGAGTTTTGACACCCGGCCGCGAAGTATCATTTCCCCCCTCGTGATCCAAAACTAAGACAAAGCTTAAAACATTCAGTGGTCAATCTAATAGTGGGGTTTTTTTGGGGGGGAGGCTTACTTTGGAGGGCACTCTTGATAGGTAGTACCCAGGCCCGTAGCTATGGCGGGGGGCCCTGGGCACACCCCCCAGCTTCCTCCCAAAGCCCCCCCAACTTTTGGGGAGAAGTGGGGAGGCCGTGCTAATTCGCGGCTTGGAGTGCAGGCGTTTCTCCCCCGCTTCTCCCCCCAAAGCATTTAAAGGGGGTACCTCGGGCCATTCACTCTGTGTAACCTACCTCGCAGGGTTGTTGTGAGGATAAAATGTAGGAGAGGGGAACGCTGTAAGTCGCTTCGGCTTCCCATTGGGAGAGAAAGGCAGGGTGTAAATAAATAAGAGAAACAGTTGATTACACACACACATGCCCTGGACCAAAGATAATTTTTCATTCAGTGAAGCACAAGAAGCGTTGTTTCCCCAAATCTCTCTCCTGTGCACATTAAGAGAGTCCTGTTCTCTAGTGTGAACCGATGCAGTAACCTAGAGCCGGTTCCCGTGGGTGCCATCTGCGAACGGGATCCGAACCCGCTGGGTCACTGACGAAGACATTTCCCATGGTCTGTTTGGCATGTCACGGGATCTCCCAACTGCCGCCGAGCATAATGGGACGCCGATCACTATCATGTCAACCTTGGAGGCTACTCCAGCGATTTCACTGGAGAAGATGCGCGGCGAAGGTTTGCAGCTCAGCCCTGGAGCATTGCGACCTCCGGTTTCTGAAACAGCTCCTCTTGTGGAGGCGTTTCGTGTGTTTTTTGGCAGTGGCTGGCTGCGGCTCAGAAACCGGTCTGAGCTGTCAGCAGTTGCACGTCTCCATGACCACCTTGCCTGCCCCAGGAGGAAGCTCGAGTTCCCTTTCAAGAACAGAAGGTGCGGCTTGGCGGTGGCGGTGAAAGGAGGGGGAACTGGCTTTTTGTTTTTTTTTGCCCTCCCACTCTCTGGTGCTGCTTGCTGTGCAGGTGTTCCTCTCAGCAGGTGCAGGCCGTGTGAGTCAACAGACTTTCCCTCTCCTTCGTTCCCAGGCTCGGGTGAATTCATGTTACACTGCTCCTGTATATGGAGGTTCTAATTTGCCTGTTCTGGCTGATAGCCACAGACTGCTGCTTTCCTGGTGTAGTGGTTAAGACTAGAGTGTCAGTTTAGTGTCTGAGAGGCCCAGGTTCAAATTCCCACTTGTGCCACGGAAGCTCGCTGGGTGACCTTGGGCCAGTCATGCTCTCTCAGCCTCACCTGCTGCACGGGGTCGTTGTGAGGATAAAGAGGAAGAAAGGAGAATGGTGTGAACTGCTTTGGGTTCTCCTTTGGGGTGAACGACGGGACACAAATGAATTAAATGATAACATATCATCTTTGTCTTGAGTTTAGCGGGCTGCCCTTTCCATATTCGGACGGGGAATTCTGTAAGGGAATATTCGGGCAGGGAATTCTGTAAGGGAATATTCGGGCAGGGAATTCTGTAAGGGAATATTCGGGCAGGGAATTCTATAAGGGAATATTCGGGCAGGGGATTCTGTAAGGGAATATTCGGGCAGGGGATTCTGTAAGGGAATATTCGGGCAGGGAATTCTGTAAGTGGACTTGAGAGAGGGAGCGCAGAGAGGAGCTTTTGCTGGGATGCGCTGCAGTTCCAGTTGCCAGGTTTAGGTTGGGAAATTACTGGAGATTCAGGGGTGGAGTCTGCAGAAGGTGGAATTCAGGAAGGGAGCTCAGCAGGGGCGTGATGCCAAAGAGTCCACCCTCCAAAGCTGCCATTTCCTCTAGGAACTGAGCATTGGAGTCTGGAGATCAGTTGTAATCAGGCCTGTAGCTATGGTGGGGCTTTTGGGGGCCCTGCCCCCTTTCTTAAAGTCACAGCCCCACTATAATTTCTCTTGTAAATGCTTTTTTTCAATAGTTATAAAACATTTTTTAAAGGTGTGTAGTCCTTTAAG